GTCTTGACTCACGGAGACAGCACTGGAGTAGCGGGACACTGAGAGAAGAGGGAGAGACAATCCCCTTCCCTTGAGCAACAATGACCTCCACATTATTGTCTTATCGAGTGTCTTGCTGTTTTCTGTGTTTGGGGAAATTGGGATCATTCGATTGGGGCGTGGGTTTGTAACGGGCGTGGTACAACCACGTGTTATCACGTGGTATATCTATAACCAGTGCCCATGTGAGAGCCGGCATTTAATTGGTCAGATCAAGCATCATCAATTTTTAAAGGCTCCCTAGCTCACAGTAGAGGAACAATGGCAAATGAAGATACACAGTGGCATACGTTGCTGATAGCTCGCTCCAGTATTGCTGCAGGAGCTCTTCTTAGCTGCATCTTAGTGTTTATACTCGCTGCTGCTTCTACCTGTAGAGATAAAGATGATCGTAAACTCCCAACCCTGCGGCTCATCCTCTACATAATTCTAGCCTCTACTGCTCGTTCCATTATTATAATGATCCAGGTAGCACCCGTCATAGATCATTCTCTCTATTGCAATGATACAGGCGGTGACATAACTGGGAATTGTTGGTACTGTGTCACAACTGGATACTTATACAGGACCGTCTCTATGATGGGTGTACTGTTCACACTCACTGCTACAGTACACATGCTTCTCATAACATTTGCTGTGAAATATTCATGGAAGTTTGAGGTTGGTTATGTGCTAGTACCAATTACATTACCATTAACGTACACATGGATATCAATATTAGCATATTATGATAATAAAGGATTGCTCCAGGATTGGTGTGGCTATGGCACTGACATAAGCCAGATTAAGAATATAATGTATATTGATATGCCACGTCTCGTTGTTGAAGTGATGAACACTTTCCTTGTCATAGTGATAGTGTTTTGTGGTATGCCTAGAAGATATACTCAAATGAAAAAAGATGGAGAAGAAGTTGGCGTTTGGATGAAGCAAGTTCTTCCAATTCTGGCACACTCTGTGCTTTACTTAGGGATGAATTGGTTCAGTTTAAGTGACCATTTATACAGATTACTTGAGTGCAGTACCAGTCTTGATGAATGTAAATTACATGAAGAGCACCTTCAATTAGCACATGCTATAACATCAGCAGGCCGTGGACTACTAGTAGGGATTACATTTACTGCCTATTATTTGATAATGATGTATATTCGTTGGAAACACCAAGATATCACTGTAGATCGCTATGGAACGGTTGTAACCATTTCTCCAACATCTTCTGAAGGTTCAGAATCATCATTAATAAAGTCTTATTGTAGACAATTACAAATTAACAATAAGAATGACATGTATTCTTCCACTTTTTAACTGTTTCGTGTGAAATTTAGAACTTAAGCATTGAAATTATTTTTTAGAATAGTTATGAAAACAAAATTTTAAAATTACTTTCTTTTTAATATCCAAATTTTTCATTAAGTTTAGTTCTTCCATCTCCAGTTTGATCTACAGCAAATAGAGAACACTCTTGAAACATATGCATAACATTTACATGTGCACGTGTGTCAGTCACACAAACCTTCAGGAGGTAGCCATGATGCATAGTTATCATCTTCTTGCCATTGATTGTCATCTTCCTTCTTGTCAGTTGGTTCCTTTCTAATCGGCAAAGAAGGACCAATTACTTTCTTTTTAGGAGGAGGAGGGAGGAGAAGAGAAGGTGAAAGAGAGGGTGTAGTGTTGGAAGTATGAGAAAGAGGATTGTCATTATCAGTAGATCTGGAGTTGTCATGACTATCAGTAGTATCACAAGACAAGAGTGTTTGTTTTAACGGTTGGGATTGGATTACATCATTGGGCTCAAGTTGCTCTTGTGTATTCAGAGCTGGATTAAAAGGATTATCCTGACATTCAGTTTGTTTAGTGGACATTGTTGAGGAGGGAGGAGCGGAAACAGTACCAATCTTTATTGAATCAGGCAATCTGTATGGCTCTGCAA